AAAATACTTTGGGATAAATGAAACTGAAAATGCAACATAGCAAAACTGTGGGATGTAGTAAAAGCAGTGTTTAGAGCAAAATTTATACCTATAAAAAGAATAAAGATCTCAAATTAATAACCTAATCTACCTTAAATTAGAAAAGAAGAACAAACTGAAAGAAGAAAGGAATTAATAAAGATTAGATTTAAAAATAAAATAGAGAATAGATAAGCAACATAGAAAGTTAATGAAACCAAAACATTGTTCTTTGTGAAGATCAGCAAAATTGGCAAATCTTTTGCTAGATAGTAAGGGAAAAAAGAGAAGACTGAATTTACTAAAATCAGGAATAAAAGAAGATATTTCTAGTAACTTTACAAAAATAGAAAGACTTATAAGAGAATGCTATGAACAGTTGTATGCCCCAAAAAATTAGATAACTTAGATAAAATGGAAAATTCCTAGAAAGACATGAACTGCCAAAACTGAGGAAAAAAAAGAAATAGAAATCTGAATAGACCTATATAACAAGCAAAGAGATGAAATTAGTAATTTAAAATTTTTACAAGTTCCCACAAAGAAAAGCCCAAATGTTTCAAAAAGAATTAACACCATAAGCATTTCATAAATGCTTCCAAATGATAGAAGAAGGAACACTTCCGATTTATTCCATGAGGCCAATATTACCCAGATGCCAAAACCAAAGACATCACAATAAAAACTTTTATGAATCAAAAGACATGATCAACAGACTGAAAAGGCCACCTACAGCATGGGAGAAAATATTTGCAAATCATGTACTGATAAGGGGTTAATATCCAGAATATACAAAGAACTCTACAATTCAACAACAAAAATAATCCAATAATCCAAATAAAAATAGGGCAAAGGAGTTAAATAGGCATTTATCCAAAGATGATATAAAAATGGCTAACAAACATAAAAAAAAGGTTCTCTACGTCACTAGTCACCGGAGAAATATAAATCAAAACCGTAATAACACTGCTTCACACCCATTAGAATGGCTGCTATCAAAACCATAGCAAAACAGAAAAAGGCAAGTGTTGGTGAGGATATAGAGACATAGGAGCCCTTGTGTACTATTGTTAAAATTGTAAAACAAGAATTGTAAAATGTGCAGCCTCTATGGAAAACAGCATAGAGGTTCCTTGAAAAGTTAAAAACAGAACTACCCTGTGATCTAGCAATCTCATTTCTGGGTATATATCCAAAAGAATTGAAAGCAGAGTCTTGAAAAGATATTTGGACACCCATGTTCATAGCTGCACTATTCACAATAACTAAGAGATAGAAGCAATCCAAATGTCCAACAACATAAATGGATAAACAAAATGGGAGATACAATGGAATGTTACTCATCCTTAAAAAGGAAGGAAATCCTGTCATATCCTACAGTGTGGATGAACTTGAGAACATTATGCTAAGTGAAATAAGCCAGTCACAAAAAAGATAAGTACTATGTGATCCCACTTTTAGTCAAATTCATAGAAACAGAAAGTAGAATGATGGTTACCAGGGGTCAGGGGAGGGCAGAAAGGGAGTTATTTAATTGGTATAGAGTTTCAGTTTGTCACGATGAAAACGTTCTGAAGATGTTTTCACAACATGTGAATATACATAACACTACTGAACTATATACTTAAAAATGGTTAAGATGGTAAATTTTATGTGTTTTTTACCACAATAAAAATTGCAGAGTAGTTTTTTAAAAAGGAAAACTATGACCGGTTTTCTTCATGAATACAGATGCAAAAATCCTCAAAAAATACTAGCAAACTGAATCTAGCAGCTTATAAAAAGGGTTACACACCATGACCAACATACAAAACTTAATTAGTGGTGATAGACTATATTAATTTTTTTTAAGGGGGTGAAAAACCACATGGTCATCTCAGTAGACGAAGAGAAAGCATTTGACAAAATCCAACAGTTTTTTTTGTTAAAAAACACTCAGATTAGGAGTAAAAGGGAACTTCTTCAACCTGATAAAATGCATCTACAAAAAATCCACAGCTATCATAATTAATGGTGAAAGACTGAAAGCTTTTCCCCTAATATCAGAAACAAGACAAGGATGTTTGCTCTCACCACTTCTATTCAACATTCTACTGGAGGTTCTAGCTGGAGCAGTTAGACAAGAAAAAGAAATTAAATCATCCAGACTGGAAAAGAAGTAAAACCATGTTTGCAGATGGCATGATCTGAAATACAGAAAATCCTCGGGAATTCACAGAAAAACTATTATAGCTAATAAACAAGCTTATCAAGTTTGCAGGATATAAGAATTAGGAACAAACATGGAATGACAATCCAAAAATGAAATTAAAGTAATTCCATTTATAATAGCATCAAAAAGAATAAAATATTTAGGAATATGTTTAACCAAGAAAAAGTGTAATATTTATACACTGAAAACTACAAAATGTTGAAAGAAATTATTAAGGCCTAAATAAATGAGACATCCCATGTTCATGGATTGGCACACTTAATATTATTAAGATGTTAATCCTATACAAATTGCTCTCCAGATTCAGTGAAAACCCTAACCAAATTTCTGCAAAAAACAAACTCTTTTTGCAGAAATTGACAGGCCGACCTTGAAAGACTTAGGAAATCCAAGGGACCTGGAATAGTCAAAACATTAATTATTATCATAAGAATTAGAATTTGTTGAATTATGTCCTAGAACTGGAAGCCCATCTAATTTGTGATATGGACCACTATCTAATTTCAGATCAAGTCTTTTAACTCTTCTAGAACAAAGGGATAATGGGTACTCTAGGATAACCACATTAAAGCAGACTTTTTTGAACTGTTCCTCTTCTGGTCTGAGTTGGAAGGAGCAAGTTAGAAGGCAAGGGGATTGTCTCATGAAAGGGAAAGGTAACATTCTCCAAACACTCCTTATAATATTTCTTCAAATATACAGGTGTGCCTGAAATGTTCTTCCCCTCAGGGCAGCTCGACGGGGCCTGGACTATACATCCACTGCCTCAGGCAGCAGTCTCCCTTTACCTGCCTGTGTGTAGGACAAATATTTCCCCCTTTTCCATGTGTGTTATGAAATGAAATGGTAAGGAAGAAGCACAGCTCTTCGGGTCCTCTCTTTAAGGTTCTCCCCATCACCCTCATCATCTACTGAACACTCTTAATTGCCATTGCCCCTCTTAAAATGTGTCAGTTACTTTTCAGAGATATGTAGAGCAATTCCCAGGTGTACTTAGCTTAGCTAGAAAACAACACGGGTAATTTGGTATAATTATAAAGTGTTTCTATTGAGAAAGAATGCATAATTGTTATATTTTTATTTTGTAAGTACTTACAAATTAAATATTAAATTTAATATTTAGGTTGGAATTTGTTAGAGATTGATTTCAAATGATTGAATTATGAATCCCAGAAACAAGCTTTTGCCTAGATTCTCAAATCTTCTTTTAACTCTTCTGACATTTCTATAATTATAATTTCTGAAAGGTTTTTTTCATGGTCATTTCTGTATCTTCTTTCAACAACCTGAGATTTCTCTGCAGATGAAAATACACTTAGAGGGCCTTCCAATATCCTCACATTATTCTCTAACTTAACTGGGACCTATAAAATGCTAGCCATTTGGAGCAAGAAAGTAGATAGGAAACCTTGGTGTGGTTGAGTTGTGAACAAATAACAGAGAAGATCTATATGTACATTTATCCCTTTGTTTTCATGCTGTTTAGATGTCAGTCTTCACCTTTGAAATGGGTAGAGTATGTTTTGCTTTAGAGGTAACTTTTAACTACTTTTAATGGATACTTTACCATCTGAATTGTGACAAAGTATCATTTGTAGATTCATTTCATTGGTCGTTGCTAGGAAATACAGGTAATTTTGCTGGGAATATATTTGCTAGGAAATACATATTGACTGGATAGTTCTACTTTTGACTTAATTAATTTAAGAACGTGTCCAAATTATTGACCTAATTTCCTCTTCATATAAAAATGTATTTTTAAAAGATCCAATCGCTGGTTTTTGTTTTGGTTTTTGTCTTAGTATTGGTAACTTCTTCTAAAGTTTGGGGATGTAAATTTATCTCACAAATTGGTTCGTATTTATCACGTCTGTAACCTCATTTTGACTCATTTTCAGTTTGGGCATCCATTCTGGACTGGTTCTTATATGTTAGTAATGTTCAAGCTTAAAGAGTGAATTACTACTGCTGATGAAATGAAAAAAACCAAGGCACATAGAACATTGTTTTTTTAGTCAAGTACTGCCACAGCCCATCCAACACTGACTGGGCGTGTTTCTTCCCAACCAAGAGTTCATTCCACGTGACTTAGTTGCTGGGACTCTTGTGGCCTAACTGGCCTCTGTTGACCCCTAGGGCTCCTTAGAGCCACAATTGACATGACTGCTTTTTAAAATATTTAGAAGTTATGAGACTTTTTCAGAATGTCCCTAATACTTTCAGAAATGACATTGTATAATATTTTATATGCTTTTTGTGACCTTTGTTTTCAGTTAAACTCATGAGGTGTTCACCAAAGTGTCTAGAGCAGCGGTTCTCAACCTTCCTGATGCCGCGACCCCTTAATACAGTTCCTCATGTTGTGGTGACCCCCAACCATAAAATTATTTTCGTTGCTACTCTATAACTAATTTTGCTACTGTTATGAATCGTAATGTAAATATCTTTTTGTTTTCCGATGGTCTTAGGCGACCCCTTGTGAAAGGGTCGTTTGACCCCCAAAGGGGTCGCGACCCACAGGTTGAGAACCGCTGGTCTAGAGGTATGCAGATTATCTATTTGCCAGGATTTTCCTAGCATACATGATAGTACATTCTTGAAGAATGTTGTGTATCTAAGAATTAGGAACTTTTTTATCCACAAGTACTAAAGAGCTATAAATTGTAATATTTTCAGAACACATTTTGAAAACACTCAAAATGAAATAACCCCTTTGGTTTCTTTTAAAATAAGGTAGAATATTTTAATTAATAATCTTTATTTCCTTTAGGGTTTAATGAAGAAATTCATTCGATGTTCTACACGTGTAACTGTGGGAACTATTAAAAAATTTCTGAGTTTAAAACTAAAGCTTCCAAGTTCTTATGAGGTAAGTTAATAGTCTAACCTTGATCTTTTTGGTAATTCTGATCTGAAGTAAAATTCTAACAAAATAAGTAAAAATTAACTGGGAATATATTTAAACTAAAATTTTTGGAAACGTATTCATGTTAAAAATTTAATTTTTAGAATATAATATTTTATTTATGTAATCTGTATTTTTTAATTGAACATCCTGACTAAAACATGATACTAATGCATTTACTGTTTTATAATTAGAGAAGACATTTAAATAACTAAGTATTCTCAAAAGAAATATCTCAGTTAAATGGATTCTTTTTTTGTGTTTTTTTTTATGCCAAATGCTTTAGGGTGTGTCTTTTTGTTTTTAATCTGAGACCTTTGCAATCCCTTTGTAACCAATTCTTTATAGACTTCTTTTTTAGAATGTAAAACATCTTTTTTCAAAAGGGATTTTGTAAGTAATGTTCCTTTAATTTCATGATATGCAAAAGTAATATTGTTGAGCACTAGGTGAAACCTAGGTTTTGCCAGTTTCTTTACAGGAGAGATAAATTGCCCTGATATTGATCACAGTACAACTCGTATGTGTTCAATGTTTAGAGAATGTTTATGATCCTAGGAGTATGATTATAACATAATGAGGAAACATGGCTATTATTTCTCATCTGCTGGAATGGCAGTCTTACAATTTATATTAATTACCTCTTCCTCCCCTTTGGGTTCTGATAGTAGCATCAAAAAAAACTAAAGACCAAGACTGGTTTCCTAACAAAGACACCAAAGGCAACATAGTTTTTCAGGCTGATGTACCCCAGTGTTCATATGAACAATCATAGCAGCAATGAAATGGGATTTGAAACATAGGCGTTGATAGGTAGCAAATCTGTGTTTTTTAAAAAGCCTCTGATCCTGAACTTAACTTTAAAAAATGCTCCCAAATCACTAATATATGGATGAAAAATTAATTCTCACTATGGTTTACTCCTACATATAAAAAAAAAAACTTCCAGAAACATCAACTTTTACATTAGGAAAAAAATTGTGAAAGTCAAAGCCCTATGTACTTGTTAAAAGTAAAAGGTAATAACAGTTTATAGAAATAACGGTGAAAATAGAAAATGAAATTGTTTTTATGGTTTGGTTTTGTACTTTATTCCCTTCTTTCAAGATACCAAATGCAATTTTATTTGCTGACTTTTAAGTGTGAATCACTGAGTTATTTTCCATTTTTCAGGAAGTTGTTAGAGCTTAAAGAACTATTACCCTCGTCCAGCCTTACTGCTGGCACATATTTCCCTCTAGGAAAAGACGGCGGGGAAGAGACTCAATCCACTGACAGCTCCTTAGCTATCCCAATGCAAAGGACTTCTGTAATTTTTAGTGTATTTACTGGTTCCCCCTTATTTGCTGCCCAACATGTGGGGGGGATAATTTAATGAAATACTTGATAGCTAAAGATTCTGTAACAACAGTGCTTATTGGGGCAGGATAGTTTGGTTTTTAAATAACAGTAATAGAAGCAGTATGCCTAATTAGGAATTGCATCCTATGTAAGTCCCATTACTTCTTTGTTTATGAATTTATTTTATGGGCAAGATGAAAAAAATGAAATTATTTGTGTTAGTCTTTTAAAAATAAAATGTCTGAAAAACATTTTGAGGTTCATGTAAGTCACCATAAATCATCAAAAAAATCAATATAATTTATCTAATAATTTGTCCAATACAATTAGAACTATGTTCATTTTAAACCTAAAGTTCAAAACTCTATTTTCTGTTTAGCCAAACACAGAACTGTTTAAAACCTATTCTTCTCCCCTTCCAACTTTTAAATTAAATCCTGTCAGTTTGCTTTTAATAGCTAGAGAATCAAAATGGTGTTTTTTTTTTATAGGAATCTGTTGTAAACCCTTGATTATGCTTTGTTGAATCTGTAAATCGTAGCCACAATTCCTGTGGCCTTCTTAAGGATTGGGGGTTGTTTGGTTCCTGCAACACTAGAGCAAGAGTGAGCATTGATAAGTCCAACCCTTTTTTGAAGTTCCATGGTAGATGAGAAGGGCGCCCTGTTATTATTAATGGAAGTTACCAAGCAGAGCAGAGAGGCTGGATAGCCCTAGGAGAGACGTAGGCCAGAGGCATGGGCCTAGCAGTGCTGACAACTTAGCTATAGCTAATTTCTGGGAATTCTCATATGCCTCAAAGGCCCCATAAATCGTGCATCCATATTCATTCATTTGCCCTCTTTGAATACAAACAAATGAGAGGATAGTAACTCTTTCAAATCTTGGGAAGGTGAAAGGATTCTGAGAGAGAAATCCATAAAGCAAAAGTGCTGTGAGTAACTGTGAGATTTCCACAGTTTCTTCTCATTCAGGAATAGGCAATCTCAGAAATAGTTCTAAAATCTCAAACGTGGCAGAGAGCGACATCACTAAGAAAGTTTACACTGCATTTCAAAATTACTTGTGTGAGCCTGAGATACAGGTATGTGGGACAAGACAAACAGTGCTTCATGGTACTTATACCTGAATTAATACGTATGAGATGGACCAGTGCTTTTAATAAAAATACTGTGTTCTTTTTAAGTAATGAGTAATACATCTGTTTTGTTACAACTATTTGAATGTTTTTTGAAATTTGAAAAAAAACATGCAAAACAGTTACGAATTCAAAATTACTTATGTTAACGGGTCTGTAACTATTCTTTTTAAAGTTGGATGTGCTGTGCAATGGTGAAATTATGGGGAAGGATCATACTATGGAATTCATCTACATGACAAGATGGCGACTAAGAGGCGAAAACGTAAATTGCTTTTATATTTACCTATGTGTATATTTAGTTATATACTATTATGTTACTCAAATTTAACAGTATTACTTAGAAACTAAAAGAACAAACTAGCTTGGGAGAGAGAAGAAACTTGTTCCTCTTTCCGTTTCTCCTACCTACTCCATGATAATTGATCTCAAGTACAAGACCAAGGTCTGTGTTAAATGTGGTTTGTTATATTTAAGGTGAGTTTAAAATCCCATCTGAATATGTTCAGAACTCTACTAACTTCAAGACATAGAAGATGCACTCACATTTTTAAAAAGCCCAATAAAATACTGGAACTTTTAACTATATGGAATGGGAGTAGATATTTTTTGGTCATCATAGAGGGGACAGATAGAGTAGAATCTTGATGATCTTTTTTTCAGGTACCTCCTTTACTTTGAAAGTACACAGTTGTACTGAAGGGTGAGTTTACAGTAGTTTCTGATGCCAGATTAGATTATTGTGTCTTATTATTATAGGTCTTAGGCAATATGGGAGAATGTTTAAAAGGAGAAAACCTAAGAAAATTCAAAAATCCCAAAAGGAGAATTTTATATTTTAAACTGTACCTTTGATTAGAGTTAATTAGAAGGTTCAAGCATATCTTATCTGAGTTATATGTAATATTGATTGATATTAGGGAAATTTCAGGGGCTACAGGTTATAAAGCTAATATATAACAGTAAGGAATATAGTAATAATGCTGCCAGAAATTTTCCTCATAATCTGATTACATGAATTACACTAATTAAAATTGACTAGAAAGTTGGACTAAATGACCTCCAGGGTCCTTTTAGACATTAAGATTTTGTGTTGTTTAGGGTACTTATATCAAATGTAAACATCTATGGAACTGTTATGACACAAACCCCAATCTTTGTTTTGCATGCCATTTAGTGGTTAGGAAATTTGGCTATTTTTCAATAGAAATGTCTTGATATGATATAATAATAAATGATGCACCTAGCTTCTTAGTCATTATTTTTTTCTATTTGAATCCCAGTTGGGTAAAGCCTTACTTGTGAGTCTGAATTCTCATGACCAGGAAGAAAGAAATGTTCTAGCACTAGTCACCGACTAGTTACGTGCCCTCGAAGAACTCATTAAACCTCACTTGGGCTTTTTTTTTAAAATTGTCTTTGTATTTGGTAAATTTCTAGCCTTTCTATTTTCCAGTTTTTTAAATGGTTGTTCATACATCACCCTCATTTAATCCTTCCAACCAAAATGTTTCGGGTGTCAGGTACAGATTACAGAGATAGTCACTTCTCCCTCACCCAGCAGTGTCGGGGCTTAGATATTGGAATATTACACATAATGTTAATATCATGCTGATATAATTTTAGCTTTCTTTGATAGTACTTTGGGCATTTCAGTATGTTCTTGAAACCATCATTATCAGTAGCTTTGCCTTAAGGCTGAAGAGATGTAAGTAGGCATCCACTGCACAACCTGTCTGGCATTCACTTGTCCTTTGCAAGATAAGATCCCTCCCCAAAGGTCACCCGCACTGCCCGTTATTTTAATGTCAAAAATGAAATAGCTGATTTCTAGAAATTATTATTAATAGACCATCAATTAAATCAGCCTTCACTACAATTGTGTTTCTGATTATACATTTCTGAATAGTTTAAATTCCTTAGTTGTTTAAAGCATGTTTTAATAAAAGTTGGCTCAAAAATGGTTCGGTATTATATGATTTTTCATTCAGGTAAAAAGTAAACCAATAATAGAAAAATTACCACGTTATATTCAGTGCAACAGTAAAATAATATAATAGCCTTTTTCATTTTTTTCTGGCATGACAAACCTGTTTCTTGCTTGTTACCCTCTTCCAACCTGTTTCTCCCTTAGTCTTCACAATCTCAATAGTTCTAAGATTAGTGTTATAGTTCCTTTTTTCCAGTCTCTCTGACCAAAATCGCTGAAGCCAGTTCTGATTAGTTTTTCTTTTATTCATCCTTATATAAATTTTGTGACCTCTCTACCATACATACACCATATACTATACAAAATACTATACCCGGAATCCTGGTACTCTTACCACCTCCACTTCTACCCCATCCAGGCCCCCGTCACTGCTCTCCAGGTTTCCATCAGTCTCCTACCTGTGCTCCATGCTTCCACGCTTGCTGCCACCCATCCCCCTTCCCATCCTCACCCAGCACAGCAGCCAGAGTGATCTTACAACAATCCAGAACATGTCAGTTCTCCACTTGGAGCCCTCCAGTAACACCTGATATCAATTTAGATACAAGCCAAAGTCCTCCCAGGGACCTGCAGACACAGACCCCACATGATTCCCCCACACATCTCTCTGATCTTACCCTTTCCTGTCTCCTCTGGCTCACTGCATTTGGCCTCACTGGCCTGTGTTTCCTCAAGCATGCCAGGCTTGCTCTGGCCGCCCCAAGTGTCCACCTCATTTGCTCCTTTGATGCCCTTGACTCAAAGAATTTTGCTTCTACATCACCTTCTCAGTGAGGCCTCTAACTTGGCTTAGTGTTACAATAATCCCCTCTCCCACTCCAGCGCTGGCACTCTTTTCGGCCTTACTGTTTTCCACAGTATTTTATCCTATCTGATGTACTATGCCTCTTGTTTGTTTATTGTTTGTCTCCCCAGTTAAAATGTAATTTGAGAGCAGAGATTATGTTTGTTCACTGCTGAGTCTTAGCACTGAGAGCAGTGCCTCGTGCAGATAACTCAATAAATATTTGAAGAGTAAATTGAATGACAAATTTTATCTTTTATAAGGTAATATTTATGCAAAATATATCCTAAAGATTATTTCATTTATTTGAATTTCAGTTTTTCAATTTTCTGTTAAATGAAAAATGTTTGCACTTATTCCAATTATGAGTTATTATAGTAATTGATTAATGCTGACAGAATGAATGGACACATTAGCAATAAAGCAATCTTTTCCTGATTATGCCCCTACTAGCATATTTATTGCAATCACACACCTTCCCATCTCTACCCTGCATTTCCAGCAAGATGCTAGGATGTCTGAAAAATCCACATTACTCTACCTCCTGGTATTGCTAACTTGCCCTGCCTTGACCTGAGGTCAACTTACTTCTTAAACTAAGTGGGTTTTTTGGTTTTTGTTTTGTTTTTTTGCCAGAAATACAATTTATTGAATAATTCATACTTTACCTCATTGTTTTGAGATGTATATATGTATCTGTACATGTGTGTATATACACACACATATAAAAACATATATGTGTGTGTGTATATTTATAGCATATACACACACATACATACATATATGTATATAGATATGTTCCTGGACATTCTGTTTTGTTCTTCTGAGCAGGTCTTATCCCTACACCAGCATTACATGTTATGTAGCTTTTATAAAAATCTGATCACATAACACCCTTGTCTAGAACCCATCAATTGCCCATTTTCTTTGGGAGAAATTGAAATCAAGTCCAAACTAACTTATAAGGCAAATAATTGGGCCTTCTAGGTCGCTTTATTGATATATATTAGTATCTGTAACGGAACACCTGCTTGTTACCGTTTTCAAAATTGTGTTGGTTGGTTTTACCTATTTATTTTTTCAAATGTGCTTGAGACTAGGATTGTGATTGGCATTGAATTAAATTTCTAGGTTGATTTGGCTGGAATTGGCATCTTTGCAGGTTTTTGTTCTGTTCAGTACTGTGGGGTAGCTTGTGTTCACTCTCCTGGGTTTCATGAGTAAAGTCTGGTTTTCTTTCCTCCTCATGTTGGATGCCACCTCTGCCTCTCTGGGTCTTCTGCCGCAGGCAAGGTGACTTACTCCATATTCTGATCACCTCTTTACCTTGTCCTGCTTGTAGACTCCTAGGAGGGATCTCAGGGAAATTGATTGTGTGTCCATTTCTTAAGTGCAGTGACACAACTCCCTGTCCCATACGGCATCTGTGGCACTCCTTTCCTTTAGCCTGGGGCAGGCTCAGCCTACTTTCTGTGGTCCCTGCTGTTGCTGGATCCTTGTCTTCATTTTGATGCATTTTTCAAAGATTTTTATCTTTAGGAATCAAATATCTGGTCAAACTTAGCTAACTCCTAGAAATTTTTCAGTTCATGACAACATTGCCACCTCAAGATTGTTATCCTCAAGATTGGCTTAGTAATGTTGGTTCATCTTTTGCTCATTAGTGGGAAAAAATGTACTTTTTATTTAAACCAATGCTTCTCAAACTTGAATGTGAGTATAAATCACCTGGGGATCTTGGTGAAATACAGATCCTGACTCAGTAGGTCTGGGATGGGGCCCAAGGTTCAGCATTTCTAACAAGCTCCCAGCGGATGCCCGGGCATCTGAGCTTTGGACCATCCTTTGGCTAATAGGATTTGAGGAGCTGTGATCCATGACTACTCACTTACCCTGTGGCGTCCGCAACTATAAATAGAATGTAGAATTACAGAATTAGTTATCTAGACTAACCAGCAATCTAATACACGGATCCTGTTTGTAATATCCACGCAGTGTTCATTACATTTTTTGAAACATAAATGGAATCATATGTGTTGTTCTGCATCTTCTTTTTCTCACTTGATAATATGTCTTATGGAGAATCAGTAAACTTTGAAATAATTTTTTGTACCAAGTTGGTAGTATTCCATTTATGTGGCTGTACCATAATTTGATTAACACATTCCTTTAGTAGACATTTAGATATTTTTTTTAATTGTTTGACATTACAAGTAGTGAGATGCAATTCCAGGACATACATCTTTTTGCATCTGTGCAAGCATATTCATTGACTAGATTACAGATGTGGATTTACAGAGTATTCATGTTTTAAGTTTTGATAACTACTAACAAATTGTCCTCTAAAAAGATTTAGCACTTTATATGCACACCGATAATGTATGAAAGTACCCATTTTCTGACATCCTTACCAACACTGCATATTATCAGTTTTGAATTTCTGTGAAGTTTCTTTTTTGTTTTTTTTCCCGTGTGATGTTTATCTTTTTCTTATTGACTTCTAGGAGCTCTGTATGTATTCTGAATACTAATCTTTTCTTATATGTGTTGCTATTTCCTCCCAGTTGTGTCCTGCTTCCTAATTTTGCCTCAGTTTTTTGATCCTTAAAATTTGGATAACAATACCTGCCTTGAAATTTTTCAGTAAGAATTAACAAAATAATATATAATAAAGTACTTAGCGGAGTGCCTGCCATAATAATTGTTAGTTATTTTATTAATAACTTATGTATGTTAGCTTTTATTAGCATTCTCTCCTCCTGCACTTAGGCTCACCTCAGAGCTTACTGTTAATACCTCTTGCTGTTCAGCCTCAGCTGTCATCATAAACTCATCGTCTCCCTGCTCACCTTTTCTTGGATAAGTTGAGTACCTGCTCTCAGTACAGCCCCTCTTTCCCAGACGATCCTAGTTGGTTTTATCTTCCAGCCACCCCTGCCAGTCCATATTTAAAACTGCTGCACCACGCTTGCCTTGCTTTGCTTTATTTGAGTTATCAAGGAGTTTTTAGGAAAAGCAAACATCTATCTTGACTGATAGAGATGAATGGGGGGAAAATCACTTAATGGAATTGCCTCTTTCCACCTTAACTCTTTACTTTTGTGAAATGCCATTTAGGACTTGCATAGTTAGGGAAAGCCTGATAGGGAGAGCCTGAGGACTCTTCAGAGAGAAAAAGGGGACGGTTGCCAAGGACAGCATTGCTGGGCATGTCTGCCAGCATGTAGATGAGCCCTGTACAGAAATTCAAGGACTAACTTCTAGGGAGACTTTAGACTAAAGTCTTTGGGAAAGTGAAAAATGTCTAAGATTTTATTTAAAAGGCTGCCAATGTATTTGTGTTAATCATTGCTTACTTAAGTATTCTATCAAAGTATATCTTTTAAAAAGCCACTCTGGGATGTTAGATTTATTCTGGTTAATTTACGCCTCATATTTTTATGTGAGTTTTGTTTCATTCTGTAGAGGCATGCAGCATTGAATTCATATATGCCTAATTATGTTGAACATAATATTAAAAATTATTTTTAGCATAATATTGAGAAATCAAGATTTGGGAATGATTTTTTTAAATATATGAATAGTTTAAAAACTGTTAAAAGTTAGTGAGTTTACAAATGAACCAACTCAGTAGTTTTAAAATACGTTCATTAATTGATTTACTCATAAAACATTTTTTGACTGGCTGCTGAATGCCAATTCTGGGCCTTAGCTATTAAGATTGAAAATATGAATAAGATGTGTGGACTCAAGGAGCTCACAATTTGATGCTATTAAAATAGATATGAAGACTAAGAATCTAATCTGAGCAATATAAAGAACCTAATCTAATACAGAAAATGGATCCCGTCCAGGTTGAGGCAAGTTCCATGCCCTCTCCGAGTTCTGAGATCCTTAAACAGTGTGACTTTCAGAAGGTAGTTGAGGAGGAGACCTAGAAGAGATTAATCACAGGAAGGGATGGAGGAAAGTGGGTACACCTCCTGTATTGAAAGTTGAGAGTTTTCTCAGGAGTTAGCATTTTAAGAGGAGATGGAATGGATACGCTGCCATTTTGGTAAAATATTTGCAGAATATTAACAAAACTTACATTTAGATGCTAAAATTATTTCAAGCTAAATTTTACCAGTCACTTAAGTTATTAAAATCAATTTTTTACAAAAAGCAACTACCATATTTTGGAAATTGTTTACTTAAAATTAATCATGTTGACTCATATTTGACGTTAAAATATTTAAATAATCAGTTTTAAATATGTATCCAGTTGTGGATGCCTCTTATCTGATGAGTTCATCTCCTCCGCAGTTTCGGTGTCTGAACTGCTCAGCCTCGCAAGTCTGCTCTCAGGATGGCCCTTTATATCAGGTAAGAGGCACTCACGACTGTACATATGACCCTAACGATGCCACCACAAAGGGGATTACTTTCATCCCAGACTCAAGTTCTTAAGACATGTAACTTTTCAAAACTAATACTAATTTGAGCTACAGAACTTCATCTTTTCAAATTATGTCCCCAAAGTTTTCTGTTGTTTTAGTTCTCTTGAAATATATCTAACTACACTAAAACTGAAATTCTAAATGTTAAATCCATTATTTATAAGTCAAGAATTTCTAATCATTACCAATTTCAGCCTTTGAGAAAGCTCTGCTCCATATTGAATCTCTGTTCCATACTTAACACTGCTTTGTGTGTTATTTTTTAAAATTAATCATTCACCCACAAGCGAAAGATAAAATGCCAGATGAGATGAAGCTGAATAGCAGCAGCAGCTGAGTGTAATTGTGAACTTCCTTCCTAGGTCCTGCCCTAAGTACAATACTTTACTTGGGTTACCTCTTTTAATACAGAAATGATAGTGAACTAATTTAATAATGCACTGATATACTTGGATGGGGATCTGAGGAAAGTTTATCTAATAAAAATACATTTTAAAACTTTGGGAAATAGAGACTTAGGGTAGTATACTAAGGATTACTGTTGAGTACAGAGATGATCTATGATCAGCCTTAATCCATGGATTAAACATAGCATTTCTTAAAAATCCCCATTGTTCTTTTATTCCAGAATTTAGTCTTCATTCTTATTTTGTTAGAGCCAAAAAAAGGAAAATTGTAATTCCTACAAAACTCAATTAGCTATCTTACCTCTAATGTTTTAGGGTTGGAACAAATGAATGTATGTTAATTATTATTAAAAGAACCTCTTCAAATCTCTAATCAAAAATGTTAAATTGGCAATTTCTCTAGAGTTTCCCTCAATTTTTATTGTTAGTGCTGTGATAGCTCAATCCCCCCGTCATTAAAATGCATGCTTTTTAATACACACAGGTTAAGTATTGGGTTTTTAGCTATGGCTTAAGCAATTTAACAACTATAAAGGCCAAGAGAAAATCATTTAGGAGAAGAAAATCATCCTTCTCCTTACATTATGCAGTTCAGGGCGAGGGGTAAGTAAATAATATCACTTAACGAGAGGTTTGTAGCTATCTGAAGTATACGGATGTTTTAGCTTCACAGTTGATTTGAGTATGATGCACTGCATGGTAGTGATGCCCCCGCCTTCAGCTGTAACTCATACACACATGGCTTTTTGCTTTTCCTCTTGGCATTGATGTCTATTTATTTCCTTAGAAATAAAGATGTTCTGAAACTCTAAACATCTGGAGCAAGACCACATTTTCAATAATCCACACCAATTTCCTTTTCTTTCTTAAACACCTCATTATGGATTATACTCCTGTCAGAAAGTTGTAATTAATAGGATGCACCTTTAGCCAAAACCCAGCTAGAAAATTTCAAGGAAAAAAATTATTACTTTTTAATTACAAGCAAATACTATGTATATAGCTTTATACTATTAAAATGTTTAAGTTTTGTGAAAATTCCCTGACATGGACAGTTTTCTAGGAAAATACCAGTGGACCAAAGTTTAACCAAGAAGAAGGAAAACTTAAATCACTAAGTCATGAAAGACATAAAAATACTTATTAAAGAATTACTTCCTCAAAGGATACCTAAATAGTTTTATGGTCACAGTCTCTCAAATTTTCAAGGAAATAGACCATTCCCATTCTAAATTGTTTTAAATCATTGAAAAAAATTGAATTCTTCCAAATTCATTTTACAAAGGTAATATAATCATGATAGCAAAAACTGACAGAGAACCCCAATTAGAAAATGAGTATCAAATTTCATTTTGAATATAAAGATGATAAATACTATACTAAGTGCAAGCTCTGAGCAGCAGCAGCATTTCGATTCCCAGCCCTAGCTGAGCTGCTTGCTGAGCTGCCAACAGGTGGTAGGATGGCTCAGCTAAAAATAAATAAATAAATAAATAAATAAATAAATACTATACTAAATATACTAAAATATTAAACTAAAAGAATAAACCAAAACCAAATGGTAGTTTTATCAGAAACACAAGGATAACTTAATATCAGGGGAAGGAAATTATATATTATATATTGGAAACATTTTATATATACAAACACACACACACAGAAAGTCAAATAAAAATCATCAGTAGATGCTGAAAAGGGATTTGATAAAATTCAGTGTTAAGAACTATTTTTTTCCTACCAGCTTCTTAGTTTGGAAAATTTCAAAACAACAAAAAGTTAAAATAATACAAAGGAATTTCCTTTACTTTTATATAGGTCTACCAGTTAACATTTTGCTACATTTTCTGCTCCCCCCCACCCCATTCCTTTTCCCTTCTCTGTATCTTATTAATCTCTTTGCAAATATAGCTACAGTTTCTTTGTGGCATCATTTGAAAGTAAATGGCAAGTATCATGACAGTAGACCACTAAATGCTTCAGCATATATTTTCTAAGATCAAAGACCTTCTTATATATAACCAAAATACCACTTCACACAGGAAATTTAAATAGTATATAAAATATTAGAGATGTCAGTTCTCCCCATGATTAAGTTACGAAATTTAACAAGATTCTAAACCCATTCCTTGTTTAACTTGACAAAGTCAGTCATTCTGAAGTTCATCAGCAAATGTAAACCGGTGCTTCTGGTCAGTCACATTTTTATATGAATAATCAGAGGGGATGTGCACTGCCACATACGAAAATGTATTTTCAAGCTGAAGTAATTAAAATAGAGTACTAACTTAAACATAGACATGAATAAAAAGAATAGCTCAGGAACAGACTCTAGTATGTGTGAATCTATTAAAGAGACTATTTCAAATTAGTGGAAGAAGATTCATTTAACAAATACCTATTGAGCACTTAACTGGGCACTTTTTTAGGCCCTGGGGACACAGAAGTAAAAATGAGAAAAATTCTTTTCTTTTATAGAGCTTATACTCTAATGATGGTAACAGACAAAAAATAAACAAGTAAAATGTATAGTGTTAGAAGAAAGAGTAAATAAATAGAATATTTTAGATGAGATTACCAAAGGAAGACCTCTTTGAGGTGGTGATTTTTTATCAAAAAGTGAGAGAAGTAGCCATGTGTATATCTGGGGTCGGGCACACCAGGCTGAGGGAATATAGTCCAAATATCCAGAGAAGTGATCATGTCTGGTTGTCTGAGGGTTCCAAGGAGGCCAGGGGGCCCAGAGCAGAGACAGTCGCTGGCAGTTGGCAAGGGTAATGGGTGAACTCAGAATGAAGTTGTTGGAGGTGGGATGTGACCCAGTAGGGTTTGTTTTCAGTAAATTGTACTGAGACTATTGGTGGTGGTGATGGGGGCCAGGATTCAATTCATACATCACATTATACTCATAAGAGTTTCTCTTGGCTTACAGTGGTAAATATTAAAAATGATACCATCAAAGATGAAGAATAAAATATAGCTGAATGACACATCTCAAAGTAGGGATGGCCTCTTTCTCATTATACATGTAAAAGGCAAAAAAAGACAAACCGAGTTGACTATTAATATTGAAAAGTACATGGCAAATATACTATAACTAAGGAAATATTAGCAATATATGACAAGGTTTAATGTCCTTAATACATACAGAATTTATACAAATCTATAAGACAAAGTTCAACTTTCCATAGAAAAATAAGCAAAAGACATGATTAGGCAAGTCACAAAAGAAGGAAACAAAACTGGATAATAATCGTACAAAAATGGTTTATTTCTTTAGAAGACAAGAAATGAAAGAAGAAATAAAATACTATTTTATGCTTATTAAATTGCCAGATTAAGAGGGAAGAAAGGATAGTACTCATTACTGATGAGGCTATTTGAAGAATGAGCATTTATATTTCTTTTGGAAATGTAAAAATATGAAGTCCACTTTCTTGTGTGACAGTATGTATCAAGAAACCTTTTAAAATGCTGTTTTAACCAGCAATGCCACTTCTAGGAACCAACCCAGGGGTCGGGGATAAAGTGGAGAGTAGGGACTAGACTGTAGATCATTGAGTCAGGATGAATTTATAATAGTAAAAAAAAAGAAGAAAGTAAAATTTCCAGCAAAAAGATTTATTGATAACTTATGGTTCACTTCTATAAAGGCATTATAGACAGCCTTTAAAAATGATCATATAGGGCCATATTAAGTAGTATAGAAATAAGTTTATGGAATTTTTAAATGGACAAAATTCTTAAATGGACAAAATTATTTAACCAAACATCTGTATTATGATTCCAGTTTTGAAACAAAAAGTAAGTACATAGAAAGACTAGAAAGATATACACTAAAATATATATGGTGGTTATCTTTGGATGGTGGCATTTAAATGATACTCCTTTTTTTCATGATGCTTTTCTGTATTTTCCAGATCTACAGTAAAGCCAAGTTACTTTTATGATCAGGAATTTATTTTTTTAAGAAAAACAGTACATCAAGGAAAGTTAATTTTATCATTTCCTAACATCATCACATTTGAAATATATACTTTGGAATTATCTATTCTTTATGTTAGTACATGATGAGGCCGAGGACTAGCAACTATGAAATGTAGGTCCATTCAGTGCAGTCACTTAACACTAAGAGGAGTGATATGCTCTTCATTATAGTAAGAAAGTAAACTGAAGCACAAACAGAACTTAAAGCTTATCTTAATTTCCAGTATTGTAACACATTTCAATAAAATTATTAAACTACATATGTTGTCATAGAACAAAACAAATACATCGTTACTTGGAGGGGAAAACAAAACCATTTTCAGCCCAAAACAGAAAATCCTGACCACTTAAAACCAAACCATTTTACTTCCCTTTCTACCTTCATCCTGGTAAAATTGGTGATGGATTCTACTATATATTATGAGTGGATTCTACCAGTGACTTAATTCTCTGCAGAAAGTGTGAAGATTCAAAAAGTCAGAACTGGAAAGCGAAGCAGGAAGGATTGTATGAAGAGGGGCCGGATGGGGTGGGGCTGGGTGAGTGCGAGCTGCAAGGTGAGGGCGGTGTGTCGAGGTAGCGGCCTCCAGATCTGGCTGGATTTAGAAAACCCAGGGGTTTTATAAAATGCAGATTTCTCTGCTCCCTTCCCAGAAACTCTGATTCAGCAGGAACAGAATGAAGTTTAAGATAAAAACAAGCACATAAAATTTAGACCCAAATCGATTTCAGCCATGAAAACAGAGACTGTCTGCGGCTTTTACTCCAGCCCTTAGATAACTGGCAGTGGCATCGCCTGACTTCACCTGGGAGGAGCGAGACAGGGATGCTCCTTTCCGCCCTCCCGTCCTATCCTGAGCTAACGGGAAGAGAGACTTCCACACTGAGCCTTGTCAGTATGTAACAGCTGTGAGCAGCACGCAAACGGCTATTTTCAGGATTACAGAATCCCAATCTATCCCTTTAATCTACATGAAAGAAAACACAGTTCTCTGTACTGGATCTTTGCATTCACCCACACTGAGATGAAGGGGTAATCAGTAGTTTTACAAAAGTAGCTCCTCAAAATTCATTTGAAAGGGACTCTGCAATTTTGAAAAAAAGAAAAACCATTGGTCCTCCAGATCCTTTCTGACTTTTGGGTTCTATACGATATGGTGAAATAGAGGGTGAAAACAGAATCAGATGTAGCAGCGTGACCTATACCATTTATCTGCAGGAAGCGGTTTCTTCTCTACTACTGTCTGTTGATGCATGGTGCCTTTTCCACATGGAGCAACATGAAGGACAGTCTGAGCCATGCGGTTATGTGGTAGTCAAGTCCAGATATTTCACAGTATCAACTGACTATTGAAAGAGGCAGTAAACCTAAGTGTTTCATGTAACAAATTAGCTAGTTGTTTTTCAGCAGTTTTAAATGCTAAAAATAGTATCAAACTAACTTTTTAAAAGGTGATTTATGAGACTGACCCCAGTTTCATAGACTCATAGCAGGGGGTGTCTGTTCATTTGTGACTCAGTGGGCGCTCAGACAACAGCTTGGTTGGAATGCAGCTCGCAGACTCGCCTGGTTCAGACCCACAAGGTCAAGCCCCACAAAGTTAACCATTGCATACCTTTCAGGAAGGCTATAGCTTTCAGTCCTCCTCAGGCCCTGTGTCTCCCTAATGTTACATTAGCAATATTCATATATGCAACCAGTGTGGCATCTGTAGGCCTTTGAACTTAATTTAACTTTTGTTGCATATTGTGGAAAACTTGACTGAGTCTAGAAAAGTAATGGCAATTAAAAAAATAAAGAGTTTTTGGCGCCGGCCGAGTGGCTCAGTTGGTTAAGAGCTCGCTCAAGAGTTTGAGCTCTGAGCAACAGCGGTTTGATGCCCGGCCCGAGCTGAGCAGCCGCTGAGCTGCCAACAGGTGGCAGGATGGCTCAGCTAAAAAAATAAATAAATAAAGAGTTTTCGTAGATAACGGACAACAGACTGGTGGTTACCAAAGAGGAAGTGGGGTAGAGCAAGCGCAAATCGGGTAAAGGGGAAACTAAGAACACAATGAAGTATACAGATACCGAATTACAATGTTGTACAACTGAAATTTATATATTACCTCAATAAATCTAATTAAAAATATATAGCAAGTTTTAATGTCATCTTGTTATACTCACTAGTATCAGCAAAAACTGGAAATCATTTCCGCATTCTTAAAATCTTTATCCAATCATCTGTCGAAGGACACTTTGGTTATTTCCAACTTTACTAACAGTTGTCACCCCAATAAATTTTAATTTTAAGAAAATCTTTTGTATATAATCTGTATTGTTTTCATATAAACACAGTCTTATTCATTGTCTGTTTTTATTTTATAGTCATATCCCATGGTATTGCAGTATCGACCAAGAATTGATTTCGGTTAGACCAAGGGGCCTAGATCCCACTGAGATGAATCCTGCACTATTTGTTTACTCATCAACAGATTGCACAGCGAACGGTGTGTGGACTAGAGGGACACAACCAGATTTTCAGCATGCAAATAAGGCCACTGTCTGTCTCTAAATTGTCAGTTGCATTTATGTTGTTTCTATTAAGAGCAAACCAAGTGCCATTCTGCTACTGACCCATCTGCATAAGTTATTTGTGCTGTCTCTCAGTGTACAATACAAGTCATGGTTGAAATCAGTTAGGTGTTCAGCCATGATTCAGCCTTCTGAATATTTTGCTTGCTTGTTCCAAGATTGTTCTAATGTTTGATTACACTAGTAATATGGCTCAATCTTTGTGGTGTTACAGTTTTCACATACTTACTATTTCATTAATTCTTGTTTAAATAGAGTATTGCACAAGAAACTAATAATTATTCTATCGAAATTATTTTGTATGGGGAATATATTTAGAAAAGTGGTTTTTGAGCCACTGTCCTGTTCTCAGTAAGCTTTTTGTGTGCAAAATAGTTCAAGTTCTTTGGGGAAGAATTCCAGTTATTCTTTAACATGTCGAGCACACTGGAATCGTAGGCATTTAAGTCATTTGTCAGTGTAGTCTACCACTTGCACAAGGAGGGGATGTGAGCCCCCCAGATTGGAAATGCATGTGACTTCTTAGAGAACCGAAGTTGGATTCATAACCATTCGAAATGTTGGCAGCTGATCACACTATTTCTAATAAAATGAATGTTTAAGGTTAATCATCTTCATAATGCCTTATGACAAGCGGGTGCTGCTTCATGAAATGTCATTGTAACCCATTTTATGGATGCATCATTACATTGTTGCTCTCATTTGATGAGTACATTGTTTCTCTCTTTAAGTTGGCCTTAGGTGTGTGTCATTGTGGCATGCAGAGGGTGATGATAATTTTAAATATTAGAATCTTTAGAGCAGATACCATTAGCTACTTTATGGATTTCAAAAATCTCAAAGCATTTGTAGATTCAAACTGTTCGTTACCTATCACATTTCCAAACCATTTGCATAAAGTAGAATAAATGCAGTATAGTAGATAAATATGCTAACCAAAATGAATGGTTTGAGGATATTTCATTTTAGATCCTATAGCAATCAGGGGGAAATGGGATTACTGTTTTATATGTAAGTTCATTAAGGTCAGAGCTATGATAATGTCCTTGATTTTGCAGTTTTGTTAAGTCTTCCATTCATTTTGAGATTAGTCTACAAGTCAAAGACAGTCTTGTTATCTTAAATTATATGAAGAACTTCATTTTAAGCATTTTTAAATTTATAGTTTTCAAAAAAACTTCTTTGGAAATTGTTATATTAATGTTTCAAAACAGGTTAACCTCTGAAACTTGGGAAAAAACCTTGAAAGTTAGGGAAAACATTTGTTTCAGAAATCTGACATGAGCACAATCTGTGTGTTGCACACGTTGTTTTTATACTGTATATATGGTAGATGTGCTACATTTTCCAGTAAAATGTATCACAGATTAATGCCTTCTGAATCTCAAAATGCTTAGAAATAAAACATTGTACAACTCTAAGAAACACATACAACATACAGCTAAATCTTGATGCATTTCACAATATAAAAGTCTGAAATATCATAATTCTCTTTTCCAAATACCTTTGTTTCAAGTCAGAAAATCTATATTAAAATTTCCTGTTGGTTTCGTTCTGACTTTTGTGGAAAAGGTTATGGCAGTACTTTAATTTCATTTTGTTAGATTGTGTTTGTGCTTAGAAGAGTCACAAGCAAAATTTAAAAGGCAGGTTTTTGTTAACTCTTTTAAAATGGTTGGAACAGACCATTACACTCAACCAAAAACAATTTACTCTTTAGCTACAGAAATTATTTTGTTATGCTATGCTGTGAAATCCAATTCACTGACATCCCTAAGAAAAGTTAAAATTATAAATTTGTCACATTCAGGTTAGTGATTTAAGTACTGTTTTACATATGGAAGTTAATTTTAATTGACTTAATGCGAAATGCATTGAGAGTGTATTTTAAAAAACCACAAATGAGACCTGGATGTTTTGGGGTCCCCAGCCAAAACTTATAACCTTAAATGAGTTTTATATACATGATCTCTTTAAATTTGTCCTTTTGCTTCATCATATGTAATTTCACTGTTTTCCAAGGAAATATATTGGAAGCAATTATGGAATTTAAAATAGTTTAGTGTATTAACATTTTTACTGAAATGCAATGGAATATGTGCCAAAACATGTAAAAACCTTATATAAAGAAGGATATCAGTTGTCATTTGGAGAAAGGTACACACTTTATGATGGTCCTGAGTAATACGGTATTACTATTAGAACCACAGACTTCTTCAGGAAACCTCTTTTGATGTATTCAACTATGATTTTCTAAGTATGGGACTACTTTCATATCTAGTAATACACTAAATTCCCAGTTAATCATTCCCTAAGTCAGGTTGTGGAGTTTGCAAGAAACCAGGTATAGAAAAAAATATACAGACAACTTTTATGGCTAGTTTTATAAACTTAGGGTGCTAGTAAAATAAACTATTTATATAAATAACCTATAGGAATAATCATCTGAATTTACAAAATTGGAGAACACATAAAATTGTTTTTCTTTAATCTGTTGTTTCTTAAGCAACAAGCTGAAAGAACCTTACTTCCATAAAAGATTTTGTAATCTTTTTTCTCTGCCTCAGATATCATACTTGTAAAAGGGTCAGGAACCTTGGATATAAAGGCCTGCGGTTTATAGACTTTATCACTAAAGTTTATCACTTTAACTTAAGTAATCACATCAGTTAATAGAAATATCAGAATATGGCCTTTCTCTAAATTAACAAAATACTTTTAAGAAGTAAAAAAAATAAACTAGAAGGCTCATTGATGAGGTAATATTAGCTCATTCAATCTAGGGCACAGGTACCTTGGGTAATGCCTTTTACCTACTTTTAGAAAAGTATATTATTTCTTTATTCATTGAAAATCTGTCCCATACTAATATGCCACATTTTATAAATGTAATGAGTTTGCTCAAGTATATTATATACACAAATGTAATCTAAAGTTAAATGATTCTTTAAGAGAAAAAAAAGGATATGTTATATAATATTGTGAACTGCTTAGCTTTATTGAAATATTTAAGAGAAAGTGCCTCATTGCAACTGTGCATTTTTGTTTTAGATCTACTGCATAAATTTTGAGTTATCTGTACCTGTGTCTTATGAATGATTTTGTATCTAGGCGCTCGTAAGTTAGAGTAATCTCTTTTTAAAAGATTTTCGTAAGAAAATACATATCACCAAAGACATTTTACTGGTAATTAATAACCATGTTGGAGAGACAGTTTTAAGTTTGGAGGTTGGAAATTTTTAGATTGCAGTTTAATTTTATATTAGGTAATAACCTTGAGTAATTGCTAAAATGTCACCAAAGAAAGGTTTTAAACTGAATTTTCATGGTGAGCTCAATCAAGTGCAGGTTGTTCCTGCAATAATCAGAGCACTTCGTTTCAGATATGTTCCTTGTTTTTCCAGCACCATTTGACAGATCTTAGGAAATCCTCAAAGGTGAGAAAGAAACACAACAAACAGCCCCCCTCTGGATGAAAAGTGGGAGAAATCCATACTTTGAAAAGAAAGTTGAAATTGAGATTTTAAATTCTAATTTGAGAAACTTTTTATTCCTTGGAGGCAATGTAAACAAAAATTATGCTTATTTAAGGTTTCTGGGTTCTTAGTAATATGAAAAATTTGATTAAAGACAGACTGGTAAAAGCGCTGACAGGCTTGTGTATATGTACTGTTAGACTCAAATGTCAGTGCTTTTTCTGTACTCAAAAGCAAAATTTTCATAATGGCTTATTTTTTTTCTTGAAAAAGTTAACTCCTTGTCTTGTTTCTCAGCAATTACTTTGTTATTAGAATTTAGCCATACAGCCAGATTTGGCAAAATGTGTCTCAGATCAAGAGCATATACATGTAGTCAAGCACTCTCCTTACACCATTCTCCCTGGGAGCTCCTTACACCATTCTCCCTGGGAGCTCATGGGGCAGGGCTCCCACTGTGACGTCTTTCTGAGAGGCCACGAGGCCAAACCTCCTCGGATAGGATAAGAATGGATGCACTCTATTACATACCCTGGCTTAGCATAAGTAATTTTCTAGCAGGCTAAGCTTTAGACATTCAGATGTTGGTTGTAGGGGAATTGCAGAAATGAATGAGTTTGCCATAACTGTAATTTTCTGGATTAGAAACACAAAAACGTGAAATGCTATTATTATTTCAAGATATATATCCCTACAATAAGGAACACGACATGTCTGCCAGATCTGGCTTATGAAAGATTGAAAAATGTTAAATATTCTAGAGAATCTGAAATCCTTTGAAAGCACAGAACAACTAAGCAAATCTGGATTTATTTGATATATGTAATGCAGTAGTATTTTGATGGAAAAACAGATTGAAAGTTCATCAAAATATACTTAAATATACATTGCAAGATTTTCATAATTTTTTTCTACAGCAGTGGCATTTTCCCAATAATTTGAAAGTGATTCTCTTCCTCGTGTAATGTCGTTTTCATAAATAGTGTTGACTTGTTATATTTTCAAACAATTAAAATGCTTGAGCACTTCCTTTTCAGAAAGTTATGAAATGAAACTTAAAAATAATTATTTTAAATGCTCATTAAAATGTGTCTGTATACCTATTATGCCCCTTTTTCTAGTATTCTACACTGAGACGTTGTTCAGAAATGCTTTTTTATTTTAATTATCTTTAAACCTAGAATCGAGTGAAACTGATATATGTGAAATATTGGGCCTAGTTTTCTTCCATCTTTCAGAGCTTCATGGACTAAGAAGTTAACCTAGTACAAATGAGATGAAATATTTCTGGGCAATGTAGAGATAGTAAACAGATTATCCATAGACTTCACATCGGTCCACTGGAGCAGGAGTTGTACATATTAGAAATGTCATGGGATCAGCCTACTCTTGTTTGGGGTCCGTTTTCTTTTGCTCTAGTTTTTAGAATGGGGATGGGGGCCTAAGTGTCCTTATGAGCTGTGGTCCACGACAGGAGCCTGTGAGGGGAGCACCAGGGTTCTGCTGCGTTCCTGCATCTGGCAACACAACAGCAAGCACCAGTTCTTACCAGAGTAGCCCTCACGTTCAATAAAGCCGTCATAGGGTATACTGTACAGTTATGTTGCTAATTTTCCTTTGAAATATAAAATATTTTAAGCTTTTTTTGTCAAAAGTGGTAACATCTTAATACAAATAAAAACCTTTTTGTGGTTGTAAGATTTAGCTTATAAATCATTCAAATTGAAGTGAAAGATTACCAGGTCATTGTTAATGACTTAGTCTATTAAGAATATATGTATTTTTGTAAAGGAAAAGCACTTGTAGATATTTAATCAGTACAAGATATATGTCTGTTTTGCAGAAATAAAATGCTGCTTAGAGATTCTCTAAATATTTTTTATTTTTGTGCTCAAATGTATTTTCTGTTGATCTATGGAATGTTCTGTACAAAGCTGTATGGTCGTACTGTTGGGCTAGATACTTTCGTTTTTTAAAATCTGGACTTAGCCGAGTATATTTGACCATGTTAAAAATAGTATCTTTGTTATTAAAAATTTGATTGCATAATTTATTGTCTGTGACCCTTAATATTAGTAGTTGTAGATTGCAACCTCTGTTTAAAAGTACCCATTAAGTACTACCCTAGTAAATTTTATTGAAATTTGTTGAGTATTTGAGATCATGAGCATTTTCTAGAGATTCTTGAGCTATTTAGCTTTAAGATGGCAGACTGCCCCTCAAAATACCTGAAGGGTACACACACGTACACTTTAGAACAATTTCTTACTTTGTTAGATTAATCAAATCCAAAGAATCCTTTGAATATAATTGAGTATCAATGAAAGGCCCAAGTGAACTGCAAGACTGCCTTCTTCAGCCAGTTAGAGAATAGCTTTGTTATACTAATACCTCTGTGTATAGTCCCCTCAGGAAATCTAGTTAAGCTAAAGTAAGACTTGCAAGTCAGGAAGGCTGCAATGATCCCTATCTCTGCCTCATTACTTTGATGCCTGACGCTTGTCCTATGTTAGTGATGCCATAGAGGTGGCTAGAAACCCCAGGCTTCCAGTGAGAGATGGAAAGTAGCTGTCCTTGGAGCAAGGTTGGACTCCTTTCATCTTTTAGCTTCACCCTCTCCAAGGCTGTTGCAAAATGGGAAAGACCACCGAAGATTGTGCAGGGGAAGTGCTTAAGATGTAACGCATTTTATCATAAGGTCATTGGCCAGAACTCACTGGCCTCACCTACCTGAGGCAGAGGCCTCAGAGAAGGCTGGAGGACACAGTCAAGCCCCCAGTAAAAGAGAAAACAGTTTTGTGACCTGCTAATCAATCTCTGCCACACTTCCACTTGAGGGAAGGGGTCCAGTTTGTTATTAGGAGGGTTTTGTCAACCCAGGTTCAGCTGTAACCTTTCCACCAGCTTAGAAAGGTAGGGAGGAGCCTTGTCCTCTAGCTAGGCCTGGGAAGCTAGGAAGCCAGCCTTTGCTTTTTATGTGGCTGGGGAATTGGCAGACAGTATTTTGCTGGAAGCCACGTGGAATCTTGCAGAATACCCACACCCTGCCATGGGATTTGGGGATGCCAGGATTACCACCATAGCCATTAAATGGACAATCGTGCCCAGAAAGGAGATACAGGTAGCAAATGATCACCACCAGCTCTCACTAGCCAAAGCCCTGCTCCTACAAAACCCAATTCAGATCCAATCAACTCAAGCAGACTTTTTCCCTCTTCTGTAACACTGCACTTTTATCGCAACTATGGTAATTGATGTTTGTCCTCCCATTCGATTAGGAGCTTTCAGAGGGCTGTGGACTGTGTGGTATATCCCCACCCTCACACAACACATTGGCATAGAAACTGGCACCCATGAAACCATAGTGAAAGAATCCAGATGTCAGAAAGCAGAGGCAACGCTGACAATAGTCTCCAACAAGTCTCCTGGTGTCATTCCTCATTTCATAAAGGCATTGGTCATGTGGGAGTAGGGCCCGGGCCTTATGACCTCATTTGACCTTAACTACCTCTTTAAAGGCCATACATATCTCAAAATATACATTCTAAGATACTAGAGGTTAGGGCTTCAACGCCGAATTTAGGAGGACACTATTCAGTTCATCACAGAGTCATGTGGTGCTCCATTGACTGGGGTTCAAGTGCACATTCTGTCGTGTAACTTGGGGCCACTTACTTAACCTGGCCTAGTCTGTTTCCTCATTGGTACAGCAGGAACAACTTATCCCTTGGGTTTGTGGGTGAATGAGAGGCCATAGCCAGTGCTCAGAGCAACCCCGGAGGAAACAATAAAGCCCAGCACACTTGGCTTCCATCTCTATCTGATCATCTGCAGATTGTAATCCAAGATTACATTGGTGGTGCTCTCCGATTTGCCGTGAGCCAAAAGACTGTCAGATAACTCGAAACTTGCTTACCGAGAGCTATTCCACTCACGTGGTGGCTCATAAAACTCAACCCCACTGAATGTGCTAATACAGGAAGGACCCAGCACAGGGTTAGCACAAAGCAGGCACTTTACAAGTGGCTTCCCTTTCTTTTCTCTCACACTCACGTAATGATCACAACAGACCTGTGAAATAGGCATTCGTAGCCCAGTTTTAATGACGTGAAAGTAAATCTAAACTCGCCATCACCAGAGATGTATTTGGGTCTCCAACACAGGTCTTTTGGTTTAATAGGGGTGACTCTGTTCTCAGAACCACTGGCTCTCCAGATCTGAGAGATCGAGAAGATTATGCTCAGGCCCTCCTGGCCCCTCCAGGATGGATCATGATAAACTCTTGGCAGTCACTGTGTGCCCAAGATGATACAGCCTGTACGTTCTTCGTGTGGTCAACACACTGTTCTGAGCACCTACCCTAGACTAGGCACTGTGCTAGGCTCTGGGGATACAGTTGGTGAACCAAACAGAGTCTACCCTTATTCTAATGGAGCTTCCAGGATGGGGAAGGACTCGACATTCAACACAATAAATACATAATAAAAGCAGTAAGTGTTATGAAGAAAACACATTCTATGAGAAAGAATGGGAGGTCTAGACCTTTCTGAGAAAATGACATTTAAGTGGATACGTGAAAAAGAAGTTGGAGCTAGACAGACAAAGAGCAGTGGAAAGACTATTCCTGAGACAAAGAAGGAGTCATTAGAGCTCCATGTAGCCCAGCCGCCTGCAAACAGTGTGGCCAGGGATGGTGACAAGGAAGAGCGATGGCTGACAATTCCTGAGAAGAAGGCGGGGCCTGGGTCACAGAGACACTTTCAGGCTCTATTTACAAGCTTGTATTTTACTCTGACCACAATAGGAGGGTTTTAATCAGGATAGTGACATAATCTTGTTTATATTTTTAAACTATCACTGTGGGAGCTTGGTTGTAAAGGGGGTAGGGCCTAGAATAAAAATGGAAACGGGGAGCAGTAGTCCCGGTAAGAAAACCCAGACCAGTGTCAAGATGGAACATAAACAGCCCTGGAGAAAAGTAGATTTCTTTGCCCAAATCCTCCCCTCCCCCAGCCACAATGTGCCTAAATTCAGTGTAACAAGTTTTTAGCTCATGGGTGAAGCTCTAGATGGGGGGTGGGGGATTCAGCCCAATGCGGTGGGAAGAAGCCATGGATCTAGAGAGGAGCCCCCATATCCTGGAGCCCCCCATATCCTGGAGCGCTAAGGGTGGCAGGGGCAGAAGGGTGGCGGGGAGGTCGGCTCTGTTTGGAACGGGTGGGAGAAATGACCCTGAAAAGCCTTCTCCAGCAGCCCTGTCCAGGGCCTGGTAACCAGGGCTCCCCACAGAGCCTGCAGCGAGGCCCCTGCCTCCAGCACGGCCTGGGGAGCTTTCTTCAGGAGCTGCCCACTCTCCCCCCTCCCCAGAGCTGGTCCTGGCCAGCTCTTCCCCCAAAGCTCTCTCCCCAGCCCTGTCACATCACAGGTGCTCCAGTGATGCAGCCCCAATTCCAGTTTGGAATTGATTAACTGAATTAATTAACTGATTAGCTGAAGGGTGGGTCCATTTCAGAGTCTCACCTCAACAGGGAACAAGACCCTGATGTAAATGTGACACTAAACCGGCAGAGCTCACGAGATGTAATTAAAACACCTGCTTATTTAATTTGTATCTCTCACAGTCCCCTTCCACTGGTAAAAATGTCAGCAGTCCTGGGACTTTTTCAGCACAAAGCACAGTCTCAATTCAGACAGTAGAATGTCCTTCTGGGAGTGGGCCCCCTCTTTGATCCTTCAACCACCACTCACTTTGTAAGAGCCATGCCTCTGTTTCAGTAGACTGTTCCTGGTGACTCTCACCTTCTGTTTCAGGGGTACAGACCTGTGTAGAGTGCCCCTGGAAGCTGGTAAAATGAATTTTGTGTGAGCAAGAGTGACTCCATATTGAATGGGCATTAGTAACTCCATTTTGGACATGAGCAAAGAAGTTAGCAGACAATGCCCAGGGAGCCACTGCCCGGCTGCCCTGGTAATTGGGTGTAACCAGCTACACCCCAATGATCTGCTACTGAAGATATGATGACATCAGGAAGGTACTCAGAACTGCATAAAAGCTAAGGATTTTTGCAGCTCAGAAGGCCAGTCTCTACAGAGGTGACCACGCTGCCACTCTGCTCTGAGAACCCTCCACTCTGCTTTGCTCTGCTCCACTCAGACCAAACCTCTGCCAGACTGGCCTCCCAGAACAGCCACCCTTCCTTGCTCCACCAGGACTCTGATTGACTTTGGGACTGATTTGTAATTCTATTTTACCAAATTATTGTATTACTCTGTGTGCTTTACTGTTTGGTGTATTGATGATTGATGTTGAGTAAAGAGCATATTGAAAGGCATTTAAGATTTTGAGTGCTCTGTTTTTTGCTTGTGCCATGGCTACCATGGAAGCCTCAGTCAGTTCCAGGTAGATCCTGGGGACCTAAGAGTCCCTCGGGGGGTTAGTCCCTCTGACTTGCAGGAAGAGACTGCAGCACGGACTGTGAACCTAGCAGTCGCTCATGACAAAACCACAGCCTCTTACTACAGAAGTTTTCCTCTTCCAAAAGGCTGCCATCTGATGCAGGATCCTTTCTATTAAGTGGCTCCTAACTGACATCCCTGCTGCAGATCCCTCATAGGGCCCCCAAGAGTCATGCAACAATAACCCACTATCAAAGATGAGTCTGTTTCTTATCAGCCTAGTAGCAACTTTCTCTCCCTCTGCTTACCAGGAAGCTTGGGGCTGAGAGGCACAGCCTCCAGTCTTTACATCCATCCTCTGGCTGTGTCAACACACACAGGTTGACCCCATAGCCACAGTAACACATATCAAACCCTCCCGGGGTGCTGTTGAAGTGAGCTGGAAATAGCCCAAGGACAGTGTCTCTTTCTGGTTCTTAAAAATGTGTTCCCTGAAAAATGTCTTAGAGCTGCCACTGGGGTTTTCCATCTGAGGCAGCCCCAGAGCTCTGGGTCGAGTGGTCGTGATGGGGGAAACGAGCAGAGATCCAGGAGTCACACCAAGGAGATCCTACTTCATTCCTAGTTCAGCCACTCACTAGATGCGTGACCTT